ACTTCTTGTGGCCCTACATCAGAAGCAAGATAAGCATCATTTTTGGCTGAAGCGTCAGATGCAAAGCCTCTTGGTGGATGTAAATCGCATTCGCAACCTTGCCACCAAGAATGCATTTGTCACTCGCGAAACTTGTCAGCGCTCATGGAAGAGTTTGACCCTACTCAGTGCTGAAGCTGATCTTCAAGACGATGGCTTCACTGAAAGATTCAAGTTTGACTCCACTCCTCCACGGAATGCTGTCCTACGAAGAACTCCATCTCTTGAAGACTCCGACTATTCTTCCTCCGCGGCAACTGTCAACGCCAATGTGATCGATGATGAAGACGATGCTACTTCACCACCCCCTACTTCTGCATGTATCGACACTGCACCAAGTTCGCCTGCACCGCCAAACGAAAACGACAACCCTGCTACTTCAACTACTCCTCATGAGGACGAGTAGATGCTCTATGTCTTCAAACCTTTTTGGTCATTACTGACAAAAAGGGGAGAAGCGTATGAGTTTGATAGTCTTCAAGCGGGTTCATAAGGGCGGTTGCTTTATATTTTGCCTAGTGTTTACAACTCTTGCTTTTGATACATTTCGTTCTTTCAGTTGTAACACTTAAACTTGATGGTCGTCTGCCACTTATTTGCGTTTACACGTGCGATGATAACTTCTGCACTTAGATCATTCTGCAGACGTCCATTTTCCATTATGCATGTCATTCTCTTAGCTATATCATTTCATGCATGATGAATTATCTTCATAAGTTGAAGAGGATCTCCACAAGTATAACCTGCCATGTGCATTTGCATTCCAAACGCAAATTATTTATATGCACATCTTCAGGGGGAGCCCTTGACACTTATGAAGACAATACACTATCCTTTACAATTGCACATACTTCTTTCCCATTGAAAACTTCAACCAGTTTATCATCAATCACCAAAAAGGGGGAGATTGTAAGTGCATCTAGTGCCACCCCTAGTTGGTTTTGGAGTATTGACGACAAAGTTGGTTGAGGGACTAATGAATTTGTGAGAATTGCAGGATAACGCAGGTGGTGTCCCTCATTGATTCGGTTTACCTACCGGTGATGACCCCTAAAAATGTATGAAGACATTGAAGACAATGGTGGTGTGTGTGAAGAGATTCACATTGAAGACTATGGAGCGCGAAGACGGAGTTGTTTCGTTGTTTCCTTTTCTTCTGTGTTGAGTCATAGGAACCACCGTACTGTTAAGTGGGGTCCAAGTGAACTAAGTCAGAGTGACTGAAGTGATGCTCAACCCAAACCCTATGTCTTCGAGCGAAGACAATGAGAGCAAATCTTATCCAGAGCTGGATGAGTCAGCTTTGCTTGTAGCCCAAGTAAAGTTGTCGTGTGTGTTTGAAATCTGACCGTTGGAATACGTGTCAGTTCCTTAGTGACCCAGGGTCATTTCGGATATATCAGGTCGGGTTGCCTTGTGGCTATAAATAGCCCACCCCCTACACCATAAATTGGTGGTTGCTCAGAGTTAGTTTATGGCTTTTGTCGTTTTGAGAGCCATAAATAGCCCACCCCCCACCTTGAAGCCTTTGAGAGAGAAATCCTTGTGAGGACAAAGCCCAAACACCCAGAGCCAAAGAGTGTTAGGCATCACTGAAGTCTTTCTGTCTGTGTGACCTGAAGACTTATTACACTTGAGGACTGTGTATCCTCCAGCCGGTTAGGCGTCGCGTTCTGAGCATCCAAGAGTCATTGTGAATTGTCGGGTGAACGAAGTCTGTGAAGGTTCGGAAGTCTACCTTGAAGACTTACCAGAGTGATTGGGTGAGGACTAGGTGTCCTTAGCTCAAGGGGAATAAGGTGAAGGCACGGTCTTCTGAGTTGAATCTCAGCCTCCCTAACCAGATGTATAGTTGTCACAGCAACTGGAACTGGTCCAACAAATCCTGTGTCTTCAACAAGTGACTGGTTCTATCCCTTCCCTTCTTTACTTTGAGTTTGTCTTCGTGAAGTCATTGCTTATCTGTCTTACCTGTTTGACTTCAATGTTTGACTACTATTGTTGATTGGCTTCATACTATCTTCCATCCTGATCCTTACTACCTAGCTGCTATTAGTCTTTGTACGTTAATGACATTGCATACTTGACTATGGATTGCTTGTTGTAGTTTATCTTCCGCTACATATCAATTAGGTTATTTTTATTGTTTGTCTTCGAAACTTCCACGTTTTGAAGACTTTGATAAAAATCGCCTATTCACCCCCCCCCCTCTAGTCGATAACAAGCACTTTCAGCCCATTTAATTGATTTATCATCTGACGGACATGTAGCATCGCCCAGACTACCTTTGGATTGTTGAATCCATTTTGAGAGACAAAAAAACATGATACTAATAAGAAAAAGAGTAAAATGCATTGGTGGTCGCTACACTTGTCGTATACGCTCACTTTGGTCACTGTATTTAAAAATACAGTCAATATGGTCATTATATACGTGTTGTGATGATTATACGGTCATTATCACACCGTATAGCTTCGTATTTTGTTGAGTTGACCAGTTAAACCATCTGAATGAGGCCTTGTCAGCTCAATTTCTCAATTTCTCTCACGCACACCTATTTTTCCTCTCGTACCTGGTGGCTGCAACCCTAGCCACTGCCAGGGGCCGATCTTCCAACGCCGTTCTCCGGCGGCTCCCCTTCGCCGGCGACTTTGGTCGTCGGTGGTGAGGGGGGTCGCCGGATCCACGCGTATGGATCGTTTTTACTCATCCGTAGTCTAGGTTTTTAGGTTGTTCATCATCTTTGCTTCGGCGGCGATGATGACGACGCTGAATAAATATTCTTCGGATCCTTTTCTGACGAGGCCATCGGTCCTATGGTTGGGGATGGATCTGGAAATCAGTCTGTTCAAGCAAGGATGGCGTGGCGGCGGCGGCATCCTCGTGGTGGACCTGTGTCCTCGGGCTCCGTCGTTGCGACGACGTTTGCTCCAGCGTCGGCGTGGAGCTTGGGAGGTAGTCCAGGAGCGGATGCAGATTGTGGTCTGCATCGACGACATCTGGAAGACGGAACGTGTGCTGGGTTCGTGGTTCGTGGATGGCAGGTATGGTTTCCTCCTTCGGCGTCTTAGTCGTGGTGGGGTGCCAGATCTGGAGTTCGATGGCGTGTCCGGGGTGTTGCCCCGGTCTGATTCGTTCAAAGACAATGGCTTCACTTTTGGTGAGCCACCTTGGAGGTCCGCAAAGCTGCATATCAGCGATGGAGCCGCATCGAGGTCGGATGAGGAGGTGATCCGTCATTCTTTTTTTCGGTGAGCCACCTTGGAGGTCCGCAAAGCTGCATATCAGCGATGGAGCCGCATCGAGGTCGGATGAGGAGGTGATCCGTCATTCTTTTTTTCGGTGGCTGCTGTGGTGGTGCCGGAGGCAGGTGACGGGCGTTAGTGTCAAGCTTAGAGATGTTCTGCTATTTTTTCAGTTTTGTCATGTTGGTTCTTACGTGACTTGTACTTTGTTCTTTATGATATGAATGAGACACGTATTACCATGCAAAAAAAGCTCAATCTCTCTCTCTCTACCTACACGGACCCCACCTGTCAATGGGTAGAAGAAAAAAATAGAGAGAAAATAAAGTAACGCGCAAGGGAGAGAATCGAACGACTAACCTAATGCTGTGAGGCCGGCACGCTAGCCAGTCGAGCTAATCTGGTAAGTGTTCTATCTTGAGAAAGGCTGCGTATTATGTCATGGTTGCATTCACGTGACAGCTATGGTTGGGCGGCTGTTGATTGTACGTGCATATTTGTGTTTGTGTGTGTCTTCGCACTTCAGTTGGAGATAATCTCATCTTCGTCCCTGGCAAAAGAATGTACCATCTTTCGTTGTAGTTGCTGATGGAGTAATATAATGCAGCATCCATTTCGAAAATATCCGATAATATAATGCAGCTCATGTGCAACTCCGTGTGTCCTTCCATGAAGTGTTCGGTTATGCATCTGATTATCTGTATTTTTCTTTTCTTTTCGTTTTTTGCGGGTGATCATCAGTATTTTTAGTTGTTCAAATTCCCGCAATGGACTCTAGACCGGCTGTTAGATCTTGAATGTGACGATAAGGGCTAACAATTAATGGGCTCCAGACCGGCCATGTGAACCTAAGCAAGCTTACTTATGAGTATAATGTTACTTCATGCATGAACCAACCAGGCTCAACGGCGGGAGCCAGGCTTCGTGTATGAACTGGCCAGGAGCGACGCCGGGGAAGCCGTGCTGCAAGACAGAATAGGGGGCGCCGACGCGCCGTCATGGGAAAGCTGTGCCGTAGCACCTCTCGCAGGCGACGTACTTAACGTCGCCGCAGGCCACGCGCGCCTCCATGCGCCCTTGTATAGCACCTGCACGTTCTCGGTGCTGCGGGTCCTTTCCGGCAGCCCGTCGACGGCGAGCTGCCGAGCAACATCACGGCGCTGCAACCCCGACAGCATCGGCACAAACTTATCAGCGTCTGCAAGCCGAGTGCCGATTTCGGCAACTACAGGCGCTCCTCGGCCGCGTGTTAGTGCGTGCGTGCAGGTGTGTGATCCAAGTGGTAGAAAAGACATCGCTTGGAATACAACAAAAACGCTCTACTCGATAGCTCACGGCCTCTGCCAGCGGCGGTCTCATAACGTGGCGTTGCTTTTATTTTATTTTATTTTCCTTCTACAACTGGCAGGTGGGATCGAGAGAGAAACTAAGTTGACAAGGTGTCGTTTGACCGGTCAACTAAAAAAATATGAAGATATACGGTGTGACAGTGACCGTATAATCACCACAACACGTATATAATGTCCGACCGTATTTTTAAGTACAGTGACCAGAGTGAGCGTACACGACAAGTTCAATGACCATCAATGCATTTTACACTAAGAAAAAGGGACGAAAGAAATCTTCACCCTAATCAAGCTACAAATAACTCAAAAAGAATAACAGTAGTAGAGCTCATCTCAAGAATACAATTGATCTTGTCTCTTTGCCGATACATTATATGGTCTCCACGATAATCTCTCGTAGGGCGCAGCGCAACGCCTCGACGTCCCGGCGCGCCACGAACGGGTGCTGCGGCACTGTGGCGCGCCTCCGACGATCCTTCTGCACGCACGCGGCCATGAACCCGCGCAGCTCCGCCGATGCTGCCGTGCTCTCCGGCAGGGCCGTCCTGAGATTTTGGGGGCCCGGGGCGAGATTAAAACCCGGGGTCCTTGATGTAGACACCATAACAATACAAATTAATATGCATATGTATGAAATAATACCATTAACACCTACAACTATCCAAAATCAGTATATATCAAACAAATTATACATATTACCTAAAAATGTCCTAATCCATCATGTGCTAAGGATCTCTGATTCCCGCTAATGGTAGACTTGAAGATCTTATAGTAGAAGCAAAAAACTTTATCAACATCTTTGGATTAAACTCCTACTAATGCTAGACTTGAAGATCTTACAGCGAAGCAAAAAGCTTTGTCGACATCTTTTGAATAAAATAGTCGTTTTTATCATGTTCCTTCCCATTGCTTAATTTCCTATGATAATGAGAATTTGAATAACATCTTAGATGGTATGCCATTTTTTGTCCTCTCTTATGGACCCTTTCTCAACTAAGATGTTTCTTGTATTTGTATCAAGATTATCCCAATTTTTCATAAATATCAGTAGTATAAACTGGTTATTCATGATCACTAGCTGACTGTGCATGTATATCCAATGAATTACCTACATGCTCAGAGCAACTTACGTTGTTATCGTTGTTGTTGGTTTCGATATTTTATTCTCGCTGATCAAATTCTAAATTGCCATTAGTTGGTTGCCCTTCCTCCATGGCAACTATGACAACTCTCTTAGAAAAATAAATATGAATATTTCCACGTTGTGATTGTACTCATAGTTGCCATGTTTCCGGTACGGTGGGAACGAGGAACGGGAACGTGGGACGAGAGTCGGTGGCTGAAAAAAATAGGGTACAACGAGGGTATACATCTCTCGAACGAATTTTTTATAGCAGGGACGCGAAATCTGTTTGGGTACGATGAATCCGGTACGGTACCATGGGTCGAGGAACGCAGTTCCTGAAGAACGACGACTCCCTAACGGTCAGCATTCCTTGCTGTTAATGGATCCCTTGCAATTAATGAACTGGAGGAAGAATGAGGAGTCCTTGAGAAAAGAAACGACGGCGTGAGTAAATTATGACTCGCGTTTTGGCTGTTGGATCCTGGAACCTGAATCGAGGAGCAGGCTGCGGGGACGCCGAATCTTCATCGAATCGTACCGAATCCGACCTCGTTCCCGAATCCTATTCCGGGTCAATGAATCGGGATCGAGGGACGGCCTACCGTTTCCCGTTTCCGGCTACTATGATTGTACTAATTCATCTACAACTTTCTTACCAATGCTGAAAATAAATAAATAAATTGCATCAATTGACAATTGTTGAAAAATACCAATGTGCCAGCTACTCATCTAGGAGACAAGGCAATATGAATAGAGGATATACCTCAGATGGTTGAATCGTCGATGGACGGAGAGCAAAGCAGGGTTCCGACGGCCCCATGGAGTTAGGGAATTGAAATAGGCGGTCGATCTGAATTTGTGTGAAAAATTCGAGTTAGAAGGAAAGGGAAAAGGAGCGGTGAACTCGCAGTCACGAAGAAATAACCATCAGTGGCCGCTGAGATGAGAATCGCTGAGTGAAATGCGTGCGTGATGGAATAGAATGGGATCAATCTGTTCCTTTTTTTTCGGCATGCACGTACTAACCTAGGAAAGAATCGGAAAGGATCAATCAATTCTTTTTTTCTCGACGTGTACGTAGTAACTAGTAGGAACGAACGAATCGATCGCTGAATCCCTTTCCTCGCTGATTCTTTTTGCTGACCGGAAATATATTGGGTCGTAGCTTACATGTATACCTGGGAGGGGCCCCTCGATCTTGGGGGCCCGGGGCGGCCGCCCCCCCTGCCCCCCCTCAGGGCCGGCCCTGCTCTCCGGCACCGCCGGTTGTTCGCCGTAGCAGATGGCCTCCTTGAACATCTTCCAAGACGGCGCTCGTTCGGCGGGCAGGACAGGGCGGTGGCCCAAGTAGAGCTCCAGGACCGTGGCGCCGAGGCTCCAGACGTCGGCGGCGCAGGCCCCACGCTGTCTGGCGTGGGCGTTGGGTGCGAACCGCTCAGGGCTCATTATTGAGTATATTGTGTACGTGTATATTTGTGTGTAGGGTCCATCTCCTGTTTCCTTTGTATATTTGAGGTTGTGGCCCATCTATGTACTTATATATACGTGTCTGGTGCACCGATCAATACATCGAGATTGCACAACCCATATCTTGTCCTTCTACATGGTATCTATTGCAGCACGATCCTAACCCTAGCCGCCGCCGCCGCCGCGCCTCCGCGCCGCCGCCGCCGCCACCCTCCTCTCGGTCGCTGCCGCCGCCGCTGTTCACCGTCGCCTCTCCCACCACCTTGATCGCCGCCGCCGCCGCCTCTCTCTAAGGCCGCCGTCGCCGCGAGCTCCCGCTTCCGCCAACCATCACCCCACCCACACCGCACCCCTCCCCTCCCCTCCC